AGCTCCTGGATCTGTGCAGGATCCAGCACAGATTCCATCCAGAGCTCTTGGATCCTTGCAGGATCCAGCACAGATTCCATCCAGAATCCAGCACAGATTCCATCCAGAGCTCTTGGATCCTTGCAGGATCCAACACAGATTCCATCCAGAATCCAGCACAGATTCCATCCAGAGCTCCTGGATCCATCCAGAGCTCCTGTTTGTGCAGGATCTAGCACAGATTCCATCCAGAGCTCTTGGATCCCTGCAGGATCCATCCAAAACTCCTGGATCCCTGCAGGAACCCAGCACATACTCCATCCAGAGCTCCTGGATCCATCCATAAACCATTCCACAAGCAGATCCTATCCATAAACCCATCCACAAGCAGATCCCATCCATAAACCCATCCACAAACAGACCCCATCCACAGCCCAACCCTCTCCCCAGCAAAGCACAGGGAGGAGAGCAGGGAGCCGCCCCAGCAGCTCCTGAGGCAGCCAGAGCCATCCTCGGGCTGTCCCCAGCTTTGGGGACACCAGGGCTGTGCCACAGCCGGGCTTCCCGGGGTTTGTCCTCCCCTCCCAGCTGCTGCCAGGGATGGGGAGAGCAGCAGGAGCAGCCCCAGGCCAGACTGCTTCATTAGCAGAGATGTTGTGACAGCCCAGCTGGGGAGGGCACAGGTGGCTCTTCAGGGCAGGGCGGGCACCAGGAAGGGCTTTGCCTATAAAAATGCTTTTCCAGGAATTCTGGGCTGTTCCCTTTAATCCTGCTGCTGCAGAACGCTGCCTTTTGTTGGGGTGGAAATGGGGCACCGTGGTCCCTTCTGCACATTTGTTATATTGGAACAAACCCCACCAAAACCATCCCCACAAACAGTGCCAGGCACGGGCAGTGAGCTCACAAACACAATCCCAGAGCTCTGTACTCAGCCCTCACTCACTCCCGGGGCAGGACCACACCAGGGCTCCTCTTGTTTGGTTCCATTTTCTTTTAAATCCTACAATCCAATAAAAACAGTCTGCTGGATGTAAACCATGGCTGCGCTGCAACAGAGGGCTTTAATCAAACAGAAACTTAGATAGGAGATAAGGAAGGGATAACCAAAACAAAACAAAGGGAATTTCAAAAACCATGTAAATAGGCATTTGCATATTTGGATCTTCTCGTGGTGATTTGAGTTTCTCAGGAGAGGAGCAACTTCTGTGCTCCTTCACCAGAGCAGAGGGGAGAGGAAAGCTGCTGCTGCAGCTGCTCACCGCTGAGCTTTATTTGTTGTCAGACTTCCAGAAGGGATCTTTTCTACGTGTGGAGTCAGGAATTCCAACCTCTGCCTGCTCTGCTTCACTGTGGGACTGCAGCAGCACCTGGGGACTGCAGACTCAGGTGCTTCACTCTCCAGCCTGGGAGCAAACATCCCTGTGAAATCCTGAGGCGTTTCCAGCCCATCCTGGGGATCTGTTTCTCCCAAGTTCAATAACTCAAGCACTGAGCAAAACCAGGGAATTGTGAGCAGCAGCACAGCACACGTGGCAAAGGCAGAAATGTCAGAGCGAGCTGCTTACAGATCATTTTAATGCCTAAAATTATTATCTGATCTCTCTGGCAAATACAAATCACTGTTTTGTCACACATCCTCCTTCAGCCAAAACTGCTGCACCCAGCCCTGGGTTCCAGCACACATTTCCTCCCTGATTACCTGGGAAAGGCTGGCCGGGAAGGTGAGGCCCAGCCCTGAGGATGAGGAGCAGAGGAAGGAGATCTTTAGGAGTTCCTGTTGTCCCTTTTCGGTCCAGCAAGCAGCAGCCGCTTCTCTGCACCCATCAGCCATAAAGCACTGCTCGGGGGTTAAAGCAGCTCTGACCCCCAAATAAAAGAGCCTAATGCACTGTAAATATCCAGGAGACCCTCGAGTCTATTACAGCCCAGCTTTTCAGGAGCCTGTCTCTCTGCTATGGTCTGTGCTCACAATTACAGCAAAACACTGATTAGGGTGCACATGGGAGCAGCACAGGAAGCAAATATAAAATTGTCCTAAGCAAGTAACTGCATTTGTAAGGATGGCACTGCTTTTAATTAGCTTTAATTTCCAAAGAATTATTGCTTGCTCAAAAAAAAATATAAAATCTTTATGGATCCATGAATTATTGAGCACAGGGTTCTCCCCCTGCCTCCTGCTGATACCTGGGGAGCAGCCCCAGCATAACTCACCAGGGAATTCTGTGTCTGACTGCAGGAATGCCTGGTGCTCCGGCCCATTCAGTATTTCTGTCAGAACCCCAAGGACTGGATCAGCTCTGGCTGAGTGAAAATGGAAATCAAGTCCCAGCCTGGATTAACCTTCCAGAGCAGCACCAGTGTGCTGTGTTTGCTGGGAGAGATCTGTGTTTGCACACAAGAAAAGGGGACTGTAAGGATGTCTGTGACAAAGAAGAGTACATTCAAGAGAAAACAGGAATAAATCTCAGCAGTACCTCAGCAGGGACTGGGAGGTGAGCGGGGTCCCCAGCATTCCCTCAGCAGAGCACTGGAAACGCCTCTGGCATTGTCCCTTGGTTCAGGACACCTCCTTCCCTCCCTCTGGAACCCCCTCCAATTATCAGATGAAATGCAGGAGGATCAAAGGCAGAGTCCCTGCTCTCCCGAGGATAATCGGAGTGGGGGGTAATTAGTAATTAGTAATTAGCAGCCCTGAGTGTGCTGAGCACCTTTCCCTCATTAGCGATGCCCGGGTCCCCTCCTGTGTCCCCCCTCACCAAGAGCTGCCCTGACCCGGCCCCAGAGGGACCCCTGGGTGTTCTGGGACTTGGGTTCACTGCCTGGGACTGGGGACAGGAGGGGAGAGACGAATTCAGGAGCTCTGGGGAGCCTGGACGAGGCAACGACAAATAATAAATATACAGTTAAACAACAGCTAAATAACATTTCCATTGCTGCCTGCTTTCCCTTGTGTCCCTGGAGCTCTGGTCAGGGTGGGAGAGCTGTTCCCCCTCTTTCTCACCTGGGCAATGCCCTGCAAGCAGCACACACGTTTCAAGTCTGAAAGGCACCTTAATGATCACGGGATCAGCTGTCAGGATTGAGGCTGAATTATGAGTTCCTTGTCCTTGCAGGAGAAATGGGGTGGCCAGTCCATCACATGTGGGGCCCTGGAGCTGTCTCAGAGGACCAGGGTTAGGTGCCTGTGCTTTCCAGCAGCCAGGAACTCTCCTCCATCCAAGGCCAGAAGGTGCAGAAGGGAAAGCTTAGCCTGGAATCCCCATCACAAACAGAATTCCCCCCAAAAATGGGGGAGTTTCCAACCAGCAAATCAGGCCTTGCCCTGATGTCCCTGTCCCAACACCTGGAGCAGCCTCATGTCCCAACACCAGGGACAAAATCCATGGGAGGACACACAGCTACAGCCAGGGGAGCCAAACTGATGGGGCTCACGAGGAATTTGCATGCAAGGAATCATGCGGGCTGAAATGAGGCTGAAATGTTAATGAACATTGTCTGGAAAGCACTGGGAAATCCTTGGATTAGAGGTATCCTAGGAACACAACACAGCCTGTGACAGCAGATAAGGTCAGCCTGGGGACTGCATCCAGCTTTATCTAGAAACCCAACTTTGCATACGGTGACTCGACAAAAATGCAATAAATGTAAATCATGTAACAGTGCTGCCCTGTGGATTTTGGGTCGTTTTTCATCAGGATGCCACAGCTCTGACCCCACTGCCCAGAGCCCGGGCTGGGCACTGCTGGAGTCCAATCAGACAAGCACAACCCCAAGGCTGTCCAGGCAAGGCTGTGCCTCACTTTTACCGTCTGATCTCAGGTATGGGCAAGAGCCAGAGTGAGCCACAGCCCTGGTCTGCAGTCCAGCTTCCAGAGCTGAAAACCCACGGAGTGCAGGCTCTGCCAGCCCTGCCCGGCTGGCACTGCTGCCCTCCCTGCAAGCCTGCAAACCCACATTTCCCGTGATTAAGCAATGGCTGAGCGTGTTTGGGGAGCCGGGAGCCTCAGCCCAGCGAGACTGGGATGCTCTGCTGGATCCTGTCTCCATCAGCACCGACCCAAACCACGGGCACGGAGGCACCAAACTCCCCTTGCCCGAACTTAGCCGGAGAGCTTTCCAACATTCAACATCGGTCTGCAGAAAAGCCTTTCCCTGCTGCCTGTCCCGTTCCGAGCAGCGCCGGGAACGCGCCGGGAGTGCCCCGGGGATGCTCCGGGATA